GTCGGCGAAACTCCGTAACTTGTCAATGTAACGATATGATTGTTTGTAAGTAAAGTACCTGTACATCTTCGTCTTTATAGTCTTCAATACGCGTTCACTGATACTGGCTTTAACCTCGTTTTGTGCATACGTATGCCTAATGTTATATTCACGAAACAGAGACTGGACAACCTTCGCTTTGAATTCTGGACCTTTGTCCGTTCGTATCCTGTTTGGCGTTCGTCCCTCTGCCATTATACTTCTAAATCCAGCGACTACAGAGTTACCTGTCCTGTCCTTTATACTTCTCAGCCACAGAAACTTCTAGAATACATCGATGACAACCAGTACGTAGGTATATCCGGCGTTGTATTTTGAAAATTTGACCATGTCCATGAGGTCAGCCGACCACTGGTCATCTATTCCTGCGACGTGTATGTGGGTTCTGTGTACTGGTCTCCTGTTTGGTCGTTGTAAGCTGTAAGTTTCCTGTCGCTGAAGCCATTTTCTGATCTTGTATTTGCTAATGTCATATTTTCCTTCTTTCGTGACAAATTGATACAGTTTGTCTAGTCCTGACAGACTCGCTGGCTTTGCAGGATCGAAATAAATGCCATTTAAATACTCTTCCCAGGCCGCCATGATGTGTACTGCTCGGACGTTTCTACACTTATGGCATAATTCGTAGGCATGCCTTACTTTTAATTGTCCTCATTTTCATTTGTGTCTTCTGTATCGCTTTCCTCCTCAGATTCGAATTCATCATCATCAATATCTGATACATCATCTTTTTTATACATACACTCCTGAAAATGGTGTTTGTTTTTCGAAAGAAACATTCGTACAGCAGTTTTCATAACCATTTCGTCTATACTTTTTCACAGATTCTATTATCGTGTGCAGTTTCCTACCTTTTAGTTGTAAGAGATAAACGAGTGTCGGCCCATATTGATTAAGGAATTCCATAAGATTTTCCTCTTTCATCTTTGTATCTGCCTTACTCTCAGCCTCTTTCTTCGAAAGTCCGTTTTCTTTGTATTTTTCTACCCTTTCATTCCAATTATCTTCGTTTTTGGCTTTAGCCCGGTTGCATATTGTTTTGAAGTATTCGTCCTCTTCTGAATCTTCCTCCTCCTCATTTGTATCGAAAATGTTGGAGTCATCATCATCAAAGATATAAGACTTATGTTTCTTGACTTGAAATTTTACTTCGTCTTCATCGTCAACCAAATTTCTTTTAAGAGTACCGTTCTCAGGGCACCATTTCTTACCGTGCCTTGGTAAATCATGTATGTTCTCAAACATCAGACCACAATCGTCACAGGAATGCATGTGTAAGGGCTCTGTTTCTGTTGCAGCGGTGTTGTTGTATGCGGTTTCTTCGTGGTCGATTTGTTCAGGGTTCTTACTCTCCTGGAGCTCCTTGGGGCACGTCTGTCCTGTTGAATTGCTTTCAACTAAATGAAGTTTAGTCGCTCCTTGTCGCCCTCTTATTGACTGTGTCGTGACTTTTGGCTTGTCATTTAATACGTCAGTGCGCAGGCGCAGATGTTCCGAAGTTGTAGGTTTTAAATCCTCGTAGCCTGTTCGAAGTGCCGCATAAAAAGTTCAGCTTTATCGGGGTACATCTGTCGTGCCAGCGGCATGATTTGTTGTCTGTCTATGGGATTCTTAAATACCGTTAAATAATGACAATTTCGTCTTTGTGTTGGATCCCTACTGTAGTAGAGGTTTTGATTTATAGCGATAACCGACAAGTTCCGATGATGGCTTCCTTCCGTAAACAAGTCGCTTATTCGCCGATCTTTTGCAGCAATGGACATAGGTTCGTCCATAACAATGACGTTATTCACGTTTGGATTTAGAAACTGATCATTCTCGAGGTTTAACGGTACTCCTTGTATGAATTCAACTTCGGGTCTGACGGTCGTTCTGAAGACGTCATACAGAGGCTGCCATCTTTTGTACAGCCATACAATCCTTTCGGGCGGTGGACTCAGTTAGTGATGTTGTCTTGTAATAGTTTTGTCACGAAATACGCCTTGCCACAAGAGGTCGGTCCCGACACAATCATCGTAAAGGGATGTTTAAAACAGAACTCTTCAATGCCTTTACAGTCCGTCACTGTCTCAGCTTCCGGCATTTCATGCGCTCCTCCCGGTGCTCCATTCGCTCTTTCTGGCGCGCATTCGCTCCATGCGCTCTTTCTGGCGCGCATTGTGCTCCATGCGCTCCTCCCGGTGCTTCATGGCATGGCGCTCTTTCCGGAACTCCATGCGCTCGTTCATGCGCTCCATACGCTCCTGGAGTTTCATGTACCCCCAGTGTTTTGTACGCCCCTGAGTGACATTTCTTTATATGCCTGTGTAGGTTGTATTCACGTTTGGATCTAGAAACTGATCATTCTCGAGGTTTAACGGTACTCCTTGTATAAATTCAACTTCGGACATTTCTTTATATGCCTGTGTAGGTTGTATTGACTACAAAATGCCTTCTGACACCTCGAGCACGCAATACCATACATCCTTACACTTCTACAGTCAGAGTAATAATGATGTGATCTTTAAATGTAAATACATTTTATGAAGTTAAACAAAATGCATCGTGGTTAATTTCAATTGCATTGTGGGAATTATGATATCTTAATATTTTAAGGTGATCCAGGATTGGCGCTCAGTACCAGAAAATCTATCCCGGCAGTAAGATGGGGTATGACTGTAAGCATTGTGGAGCATCGTTTTCCAAATCCAGCTTACTACAAGAGCACAAAAGAGGCCATGTTGATCAATTTAAATGCACAGTCTGTGGAAAATCCTTTGGACGTCAGGATAACTACGACAGACATATTTTACGACATGCCGATGCTTCTTTACTTCAATGTGGTGATTGTGGAATGTTATTTAGTAGAGGGGATAATCTACAGCGTCACCAGGAACAGAAACACAGTCAGTCTGGAGGAGGTGTTAAGCGACCTGCTGATACCGAAAATTTAGATCCAACCCCAACAAAGAAAACAGCCAAGAAGACAGACGAACTCTATGAATTTCGTGTCGTTAAAGAGACTAACATACCTAAATTCCAGACAACAGGCACACACTACAGGGTAGCTTTTAAAGATTTGGAAGTACACGGTATTGCAGATATTTTAAAAGCACTGAAGAACTTTTTTTTTTAGTCACTCATCGACAATGTTACGGAATTCATGGAGAAAAACGATTCGGTTCGATTATCCGTCGAATGCCCCGAACTTGACTTTCCAATCACGCTACCTTTTATGAAGGTATCGGCTTTGACCGCAGATAGGCTACTATCAGAGATCGAGCGCGTGTTACAATCCTATGAACAATTCGTCCTTGATCAAACTTTCGAAGTGGAATTGGTTCATGTACATCTGCCAAAAGGTGGTGTAGGGAAGCGCTGTCATTTTGTTGATTTGGACAAAATGATGAAAAGTAAAAGATGTTTCATTCGAATCCAGAACAACGACCATCTGTGTTGTGCTAGAGCTCTCGTGACCGCAAAAGCACGACACGAGAAGCATCCAAAATGGGAAGGAATACGACATGGTGGAAAGATACAAGCAACGTTGGCCAGAGAGCTCCATACAAAAGCAGGAGTGCCGCTACAGAAGTGTGGAGTCGAAGAAATAAAACTATTCCAAGACGTCTTGGACTGATATCAGTTGATTGTTCTTTCCAAGGAACATATTAACGCCATCGTGTTTGCTGGACCCGAACGCGAAAAACAACTATACCTGTACCATCATGACGACCATTACGATGTAGTCACAAGCATGCCAGCTTTTTTTAATAAGAACTATTATTGCACTCAATGCAAAAGGGGATATGATCACAAGGAAAAACACAAGTGTAATGATCCCTGCGTTTATTGCCATCACATTCACCCCGAGGATGTAGAGNGTTTATTTAATAAGAACTATTATTGCACTCAATGCAAAAGGGGATATGATCACAAGGAAAAACACAAGTGCAATGATCCCTGCGTTTATTACCATCACATTCACCCCGAGGATGTAGAGGATTGGAAATACTGCGCCGAATGCAACAGATATTTCAAGAATATTCTGTGTTTCGATAGTCACAAAAAGCCATCTATATCGGGAAAAACAACTTGCGGCTCGTACTATCGATGCAAGGCCTGTGATCAAGCCATCAACGTTGATATGCATAAGAAGGTACACGTTTGTGGTGATCACTACTGTAAGACGTGAAAGGATTACTTTGCCGATGATCATAAATGCTATATGCAGACGGTTGTAGCAGACGAACCATTGCGAAAACAACATGATGGAACCGAGCAACTCAATAAGTATATACTTTTCGACTTTGAATGTACTCAAGACGACATCATAGATTGCGAGAATGGCTACAAACCAGGAGCTGGCAAGCGATGTATCAACTGTAAAAAGTCCCGGTGTGGTTCATTCAGACATCAACCTCATCTGTGTGTGGTCCATAAAACGTGTGATGCCTGCATGAACCATGCTCTAACATCTTCAAGTACATGTGACAACTGTGGGCCAAACGAAAAGACTTTCAGAGGTCCCGAGACGACAAATGCGTTTTGCAAATGGTTGTTTTCGGAGGGGAACTACGATGCCAAGGTCTTGTGTCATAATTTTAAAGGTTATGACAGTTACCCTATCCTCGGGTACCTATACCAGAATGGGATACTGCAAGAGGTTGTCACCAGTGGTTCTAATTACCTGAGTATTGACGTACCAGAATGCCACATTCGATTCATGGACAGCATCAACTTCTTACCTATGGCTTTGGCGGACTTGCCAGAATCATTTGGAATAGAAGAAGAATCCAAAGGGTACATTCCTCATTTATTTAATCGCAAAGAAAATCAAGGAAGACGTAGACATTATCCGGAAGCGCTGCTTAAAGTTTCGGGAAATTCTTATTCAAATGACGAATAAAGACGGCAGCGGCGGAATCTACCCATTTCAAAATTGCATCACCATAGCATCCGCCTGCAATCTTGTGTACAGAACAATGTTTTTAGAGTCCGAAATCATTGGTATCATTCCACCACATGGCTACAGACCGGAGGATAAACAATCGATCAAAGTAATGAAATGGTTGAAATTCATCGCAAGTACTGAAGGTCTTAGAATCCAACATGCCGCCAATGACGGAGAGAAACATATAGGGTCTTACAAAGTCGATGGGTATATCACAAATGAAGGAGAAAAGGACACTATCTTGGAATTCCACGGATGTTTCTGGCACGGTTGTACGAAATGTTATGCCCGTAACACGATCAACACCGTAACCGATTGTACCATGGCCGATCCCCACATGAGAACGTTGGACAAACAACGTTATCTACAACATCTGGGATATAACTACAGATGCATGTGGGAATGCGACTTTGAAAGACAAAGTAAGCTTGATAAACCACTCAAGTCATTTTTGAACACATTAGACATCGAAGACCCTCTAGAACCAAGAGACGCTTTCTATGGAGGAAGAACAGAAGCATTTATGATGTATGCCGAAGCCTCCGAAGACCAGCAGATTAAGTACTATGACGTGACATCCCTCTATCCTTATAATAACAAGGTCGGGAAAGTTCCCCTGGGCCATCCTAAAACCATCACGAAAAACTTTGACAACATTGAAGAATACGAAGGGTTGATCCTATGCAAGATGTTGCCACCAAGAGATTTATTCATTTCCGTTCTTCCCTTCCGAACCACTGGGAAATAGGTGTTTCCGTTATGCCGTACA